CTTTCTGGTCAAATTAAAATAAATGAATAAAAATAAATAAAATAAATAAAGTTAAATTAAAAATAATTTTAAAAAAAGAGATTATTTACCAAAATGTTAATAATGTTTTTCCATGGGTAGTGAGATTTGGGAGTTGTTTTTTTTTTTTTTTCTTTCGTGAAGCGATTTTTGCTATAGGGCGCATGCGCTCACCAGAAAGACAGAGAGAGAGAGACAGAGAGACAGAAAGCGAGAAATCATCCCCCCGGAGGGGATGGCCACACCTCAATCCCTTGTCCTCCATTCTCTCAGGATCTTGGGCATGTATGCACATGCGCCCCACATGAGTTTAAGCCACCGGGTCCAGGACTCGAACCGTGGTCGACTACATGAGAGTCCAGCGACATAACCATTATGCCAACTACTGGTCCCGAGATTTGGGAGTATATATCTAGTATGATTTTCTGTATTGTTTAAGTGTTTATGGTATGAAAATATCAGTGAAGTTATCTTTATTAAGAAAACATAGAGGGAACCAGTAGTTAGTGTAATGTCTATGTCGCTGGACTCCCATGTGGTCGACCGTTCACATCCTGGACCCAGTGGCTTAAAACTCACGCTGGGCGCGTGTGTGTGCGTGCGGCATGGCCATCCCCCCTGGGGGGTGATTTCTCACTTTCTGTCTTTCTGTCTCTGTCTGTCTGACGAGAGCATGTGCCCTATAGCAAAAACCTCTCAAAAAAAAAAAAAAAACCCAAGGGGGGCCCACAGGGGGGGCGTGCTGGACTCTCACATGGCTGACTGTGGTTCAAGTCCTTGACCTAGTGTCTTGCTTTCACACTTCCTCCCTCTCTCTCTTTCTCTCTCTCTCTCTGGTCAAATTAAAAAATAATCATGATGATAAATTAAATTAAATTAAATCAATATTCGAAAAGAAAAGAAAGAAAGAAACATTGGGGGTAGCAGGTGGCATGATGGTTGGGGTGCTGGACACTCCCACATGGCTGACTATAGCTTGAATTCCAGACCTATAACTTGCATTCTCACTTTTCCTCTCTCTCTCTCTCTCTCTCTCTCTCTCTCTCTCTCTCTCTCTCTTATTCTGTCCTCCTCTGGTCAAATTCTTTTTTTAAAAAAAGCACATAGATAGATATAGAGTTAAAGAAAAAATGAAAACATGGGGTATCAGCAGGTGGCATGGTGGTTGAGGTCCTAGAGTCTATTTTCTGGCTTAAAGTGGTGTGTACTCTGGGAATCAGTACATCCAATTTTGGGTCTCAATGAATTTCTCTCAGGGTCTCTTTGAGGTTTGGGTCTCAGTGGGATATGCTGAGGGTCGCAGTTTTGTACTGTGGGTTACAGTGCTGTGATTTGTAGAGGTTGTTTTCTGGCTTAAAATGGGGTGTGCTCTGGGTATCATTAAATCCAATTGAGAGTCTCAATGACTTTTTCTCTTGGTC